AAGTGACACTGTCGGGGGTTGTGCCACCTTGGCGGCGCGGATGGCAGCAGCCGCGGCGCGTTCCCATGCGTGTTTTTATGGTCGTTTATGAGACCTAAGGAGAAGAAGACAGCGTTTGTTAATCACCGGTCCCACGGGAGTTTGACAGCATCACAGCACTGGTTGTCCTCGCGCCGCAATGAGGATGATGGCTCCGCGCAGGCTCGCGCAGGCCATATTTCAAATAACCAGTGCTGGAAGGAAACACTTAAAACAAGTATCTCCCTCAACCCTCATGAAAGTCAGTAACAAAAGTGATTTCGCAGGACAGCTTAACGCAGGTCTGAACCACAGACTCACCGACAGGCCCTTAACACACTGCACTAGTACTGTCAGCCACATTTTGCCCCTTTATGCTCTTTTTTATGTGCCATAAAGGATGCTTTGAAGCCTAATTTTTTAAAAATGCTAATTTTATTTCCAGATATCTTTTCAGAGCAGTCTCTAAGGGTCTGCTCACGCACGTAGCCCGGCACAGCCACCACCAGCCCCAAACACAAAGCACAGAATCATAGAATCATTTAGGTTGGAAAAGAACTTCTAAGATCATCAAGTCCAAACGTTAACCTAACACTGCCAAGTCTAAACCTACACTGCCAAGCCCACCACTAAGCCATGTCCCTAAGCACCACATCTGCACGTCTTTTAAATCCCTCCAGGGACAGTCACTCCACCATTTCCCTGGGCAGCCTGTTCCAGTGATTTACAACATTTTCGGTGAAGAAATTTTTCCTAATATCCAATCTAAACCTCCCCTGGTGCAACTTGAGGCCATTTCCTCTTGTCCTATCGCTTGTTACTTGGGAGAAGAGACCAACACCCACTTCTCTACAACCTCCTTTCTCTTTGTAGAGAGAGATAAGGTCTCCCCTCAGCCTCTTTTTCTCAAGACTAAACAACTCCAGTTCCCTCAGGCGCTCCTGATAAGACTTGTGCTCCAGACCCTTCACCAGCTTCATTGATCTTCAAAGCGGCGATGAGGAGGCTCCAAGGCAGCCCCAGCTTCGCTGTTGAGTCACTGCACATCCCTCTGCCAAGCCACCACACCTCCCCGGTGCTTTGGTCTACTAACTAGTCGTTTAGATAATAGATATATGTCAATTAGGGAGGGTCTGCTCTTCTTAACCCTCAGTGTTTAGAAAACCCTTTCAAAAAAAGGGATTATCAAAGGATTTTTGAGCCTTATATTTTAGGCACGTGTCAGTGTAGCAGAGTTTTTCCTACACACCAGCAGATCTGTCCTGGAGGAGCCAAGGACCGTGTTTTCCTCTCTCTCATCATGCCCCACCACCACCACAGTGTAGGAGCTCCTGGACAGAGGCAGATCCCCAACAAGGCCTGAGTGGAGTTTGTGACCTTACTATTGAAGAAAAATTACCTTGGGGTCTATAAATTGAGGGAGTGAGTGCTAAGAATAAGCAGTGATAAGCAGTGATGCTCATCAGAGCTAGGAAAGGGCATGCAAATATATTCCCCCTCCTCCTCAGCCACGCTGAGGAATCAAGAGATGGAGGGCGAGGGGCAGGGGCTGTGGGGCAGGGGACATCCCCTTCTACCAGCCAGGAACGTCACAGGTCCTGCAGGGGCCAGCAGCGTGGGGGGACCCCCACACACCCTATGCGGACCCCTGAATCCCTCGATGCTCTCT